GTCCAAGCCCCAGGAAAGGGCAATCCATAGGCACATATGTAAAACAGAAAGGGTTCGAGCCACAGGAGAAGACAAACTATAGGCACATACGTCAAGCACATTGGATTCGAGCCACAGGAGAGGGGTGTGAGGCCTCGGGAGGCCTGGCCAGGGACGCCCCGAGGGCAAAAAGTCAACGAATCGACACCGAATGCACAGAAACTTGGGGGCCAAGGAAAGCTTGGGGAGACACACAGGAGTCGAGCAACAGGAGAGGGGCAATCTATAGGCACATGCGTAAAACATGCAGGGTCGGAGTTATAGGAGAGGGGCAATATATCGAACCATACGTATTACACATGGAACTCGAATTACAGGAGACAGGCAATCCACAGGCACATACATAAGAACACACTGGACTCGAGCCCCAGAAGAATAGCAATCCATGGGCACATACGTACAACACATCATACTCGAGCCATTGAACAGGAGCAATCGATAGGCACATACGTAAAGCACATAAGATTCCAGCCACAAGAAAGGGGCAATCTCTATATATATATATATGTATGTATATATGTATACTAAAACCATCGTGCGCGTTTCGCGCGCGCTCAAATTCTAGCTAGGCTTGATAGGCTAACTCATGTCATCTCAGTTTGGTCGTTTCTTGCGTCCAGGGATTCCCTTGGAGGCCCTGCGCAGGCCTCGGAATCGTATAGAAGGGGAAGTGCAGAAACGCAGAAATCATTTAATTCCTTTAGGTATTCAACGATTCCTGGGGGTTCTTTTGTTGGGAGGTGAGGGGGGTCTGGATTGTGGTCTGTTGTGCAAGAGAGTGGACCAGGGGCCAAACTTGGGACATAAAAATGAAGAGTTGTGTGATTTCCACGTTTTTCCAGCTCCTCGGCGCTGTTCGGCGCTGTTTTTTGTTTGTGCCTCGCGGGTTTTGTTAGCCGGGCCCCTCAGAGGTGTTGGATCTTCCGGGCCCCCTGGGGGTTCTGCAGGCCTCCTGGAGGCCTGGAGAGCCGTCGGAGGGGTGTCTCGGGCTGCGCGGTAGCGTGTTGGGCCGTTCTTTACGTTCCGGGGGCTCCTTGGGGTCGTCTTGGGTTGTCGTTGGGCGTCTTGGGGGCCCCCTGGGAAGCCGGGAGGCGCGGTACCGGCCAGATGTCACGGATGTGTGGGATCTCCGAGTAGGAATCCACTTTGAAAAAAAAGGTAATTATGGGAATCCCCTTTTCTTCAAAGTCCTCGATCTTCGAGGGTTGGAAGCGTGAAAACATGAGAAGGCGAAAAACATGAGAAAGACCATTGGAAATCATCGATTTTACCCTCTTGGGGCTCTCTCGGGGCGGCTCTCGCAGCTCTTGGGCTGTTCTTGGAGCCTCGTCGGGGTCTTATTGGGGCCTCTCAGGGATCGGGGTGTGTTGGGGGCCTCTGGGTGGTCCCGGAGGCTTCTCGGAGGTCTCTGGAAGCCTCCTGCTCCCGCTCTCGGGCCCATCCTGGGCCTGTTCCTGGGTGGCCTGGGGCTGTCCCGGGCGCCCCCCCGGCAATCTCGGAGCCTTCTCGGTCCGTCTTGAAGCCGCCCCGAAGGCCTCTTGGCCGGCCCTGGGGCGGTCCCGGGAGCCTCCCTGGCGCTCTTGGACCGTTGGAAGCTCGAAAACGCGAGAAGCCAAAAACATGTGGAACAAAAGCCAATGAAAATCTACGATGTTGGCCCCTTCGGGCCGTCCCGGGACGCCTCTCGGACCTCTCTCGGGGTCACTTGGAGGCCACCTGGGAGCCTCGAGAGCCGTCGGAAGGCTGACTTGGGCTGCTTGGGAGCGTCTTGGGCCATCCTATCGCATTCTGGGGGCTCCTGGGAGGCGTCTTGGGCCCTCCTGGAGCGCTGTGGAGGCTCCCCGGAAAAGCTGGGGGAGCGGTACCGGGAGCGTTCCCGAGAGGTCACGGGGAGGTGTGGGACCCGGGGCCGGGGGGGCGGTATTTATTCATATGTGTGTGTGTTTATCTATTCATCTATGTGTCTATCTATGTATTGTTATTAGTATTGTTATTATTAGTTTGATGTATATGTATACATATATATATATATGTATATGTGTGTGCACATGCGTAAGGCACATACGAGCACATACGTATAACACACAGGATTCGAGTCACAGTAGAGGGGTACTACATAGGAACATACACAAAACACAAAAGATTCGAACCCCAGGAAAGGGGCAATCCATCAGGACTCGAGCCCAAAGACAGGAGCAAAATATACGCACAGACGCAAATCCCACAAGACTCAAGCCACCGGTGAGGGGCAATCTATAGGCACAGACGTAAAGCACCTAGGATTCGAGCAACAAGAGAGGGGCAATCTATAGGTATATACGTCAACACACGGTGCACACGTAGGATTCGAGCCACAAAAGCGGGGCAACCTATACGCACATACGTAAAACATTGGATTCAAAACACAGACGAGGGGCCAACGACAGGAACGTACGTAATACACAAACGGTGTGCGAGCCCC